TCCTCAGGCGTAGTTCCGACGTCCTGGAAGACAGCTTTAGTCCACCCAATCCCTAAAAAAGGTGATCGATCTAACCCGTCTAACTACAGACCGATAGCCATAACTTCCCTCTTCTCGAAAATAATGGAGTCCATTATTAACTGCCAGCTCCTGCGTTACTTAGAGGATCATCAGCTGCTCAGTGACCAGCAATACGGTTTTCGTAAAGGTCGGTCTGCTGGTGATCTCCTTGTTTACCTAACGCATCGGTGGGCACAGGCGATCGAGTCTAAGGGGGAAGCGTTGGCAGTAAGTTTAGACGTGGCGAAGGCCTTCGATCGGGTTTGGCATAGAGCGCTTCTTTCGAAGCTTCCTTCCTACGGACTTCCCGAGAAATTATGCAAATGGGTCTCCTACTTCCTTGCAGACAGAAGCATTAAAGTCGTCGTCGACGGTGAATGCTCTGACTTGATGTCTGTAAATGCAGGCGTCCCTCAAGGCTGCGTGCTATCGCCTACATTGTTCCTCCTCCATATCAATGACATGCTGCAAATCAGCGGCATTCATTGTTATGCGGATGACAGCACAGGCGATGCCTACTACACCGGCCGCGCTAACATTTCTCGGGAAAACGTCATAGAGAGCCGAAACAGACTCGTGTCTGAAATCGAGACCTCTTTAGGGAGAATCTCTGATTGGGGTGGACTTAATTTGGTCCAATTTAACCCCACTAAGACACAAGTCTGCGTGTTTACCGCTAAGAAACTGCCGTTGGTCGTCTCTCCTCAGTTTCAAAGCACCCCCTAACTGCCGGTATTGGAGTAGCTTCCTGCCTCGCATAGCAAAACTGTGAAATGATCTATCGTCGGCGGTATTTCCGAACCGATACGACCTTCAAACCTTCAAGAGAAGAGCGTACTCCTTTTTAAAGGGCCGGCAACGCACCTGTGACTCTTCTGGTGTTGCGGGTGTCCATGGGCGGCGCTGATCGCTTACCATCAGGTGATCCGACTGCTCGTTTACTTCCTATTCCATAAAAAAAAAAAAATTCGTGTTCGGAGTCACTAAAATTGTGTCAGAAAGCTTACGGTGAATCGACTTTATCAAAAACTCGTGCTTATGAGTGGTTCAAAGCGTTCAAAAGCGGTCGAGATGTGATGGAAGATTTGCCTCGCTCTGGTCTGCAACTGTAGTTAACATCGCCAAAGTGAAGGAAATAGTGACTGAAAATCCCTATTCAACTCTGGGAGAGATAGCCGCCGAACTTTCTGTATCTCACGAGTCGATCCGTACTATTTTAACTAATCTATACTATACATTAAAGGGTATGAAACATGTTGCTGCTCGACTAGTTCCAAAAGATCTAAATTTTCTCCAAAATCTCAATCGCATGAAAGTCGCTGAGGATATGCTAGAACGAGTCAGTTTGGACCCAACATTCATGAAACGCATTGTTACTGGTGACGAGACGTGGGTTTATGAGTTTGGCATGCAAACTAGTCAACAAGCTTCGGAGTGGCGCCTTCCAATGAAATCGAAAAAACCACGCCAAAGTCGATCCAAAGTCAAAGTCATGTTGACTGTTTTCTTTGACTATCGCGCTGTTGTGCACTCTGAATTCTTACCGGAAGGTCTAACGGTAAATAAAGAATATTATTTGAGCTTTATGCGGCGTTGAAGAGAGCAAATTCTACGAAAAAGGCCAGTTTTGTGGATAGAAAATTCTTGGATTTTGCACCACGAGAAAGCGCCTTCGCACAAGGCTGTCATTGGTGGCATCAAGGTGAACGAATTTTTGGCCGAACACTCAACAAATACCACCCAGCAACCACCATATTCACCAGATATGGCTCCTGCTGACTTTTTTCTTTTTCCTAAACTCAAATTACCACTTCGTGGCACCCGTTTTCAATCGATAGAAGACGTAAAGGAGAATTCGCGGCGAGAACTAAACTCAATTCTGGAAGCAGCGTTTAAAAAATGTTTTGATGAATAGATTATTCGTTGGCGCAAGTGTGTCGTCTATAAAGGAGCATTATTTAACTCGTTGAGTACCGTCATTACAGACAATTAAAGAACAATAGGTTGCGGTCACCGGTGACAGTTTAAAGATGATAAAATAAATTTGTATTACAATTATTACAGACATTTTTTGTATTGTTGAATTTTTCCCGGTACTTTCTTGACAGAGTAGTACTTAGCACCAGCGTATATAAGGCACTAGCTGTTGTCTGTTATTTGAAACGTTAAAATGTGTAGTCTATTAAACAAAATCCAAGTCGTCAATTAAACCAATAAATTGACACGAGTGCGCACAGTATGAAGCCGAAACAACGTGTGAGATAGATAGATCACCAACGCGCTCGCCCCTCTACTACCTGCTTCCCTGCCCCTCTACCCGCTCACGTATTATCGGGTTACCTGTCGCTAAGAGCGGAGAATCACACACAAACAGACAGGATTTTTGTTTAATTTCATTTTATTTCATTTGATAGTAGGTCCCTAAGGATATTAAGAACGTTATTACTGCAATATGAACATAAACAAAGTTAGATTAGCTCTAACTTGTAGTAATAGTTCTTAAATAGTACGTACTATATGATATGTACTTAATCTACACATTACTTATTTGTTACATGTGTTAAATATGAAAAAACCCGAATATTTTCCCATTCGGGAATTTTCCCCGGGTTTTTTCCCGGTTTTTTCCCATATTCGGGTTTTTTCCGGGTAAAATCCCATCTCTGGTTGCGCTGCAGCGTTTATACACACACACACACGCATATTTGTATCCGTGTGCGTACGCTCGCGTGGTTATCCACATTAATATGTAATTACTTACGCATTGCCGTGTGAACATCACTCACGGTGGCAGTGGACTTTTGACCTTTGACTGTACATAGGCAACGCCGATTGCTTACCATCATATAGGATCACCTGGATCCTGATCCGACTGCTCATTTACCGGATCCAAAAAGAAAAGTAATAAAGGTCATAATGGTTGGAAATATTATTTGA